AACAATATAACACAGACAAATGCAAATCATTTGCTCCAATGACACTTGGGGGTACTGTAATGTCACCTCGAGACCTCAGTATGATGCGCCGCGCGCGAAGTGGGCGGGGTGACCTACTTTCGACGGACACGCGCAACGGACGTTCTCCATGAAAGATGTCGTCCACTGAGATCAATGAACTGTTATTTCAATTTTAGACCATGTTTTGTTTCTTCCCGCGCTCAGATTTATTTTCGACGTGGGACCTCCAACTAGACCTTTCTCGCGCGTCCTTTAATCGTTCTCATCCCTCGAAATAGCCGTTTAGGTTTTCTCCATATTTATTGCTAAAGCTGTTCCTTTTCTTTTTTACTCGCGATAGTTAGGAATTAGTTAAAATTTTGCTGGTTAAGGGACGTGTGGCGCATGCATGACTGGGTCCATTTTCCATTTGAGTGACTAAGCTTTTTTCTTCGCATCTATAAAAGGCATAGCTTATTCTAGATTGATTCTCATGGATTCAAGGAAGTAAATCAATCAACGGAAGGATCAATAACATTTTTCATATATATATATATATATGTATACATATATATTTGAATTTTTTCAATCATTGGCAATGACATACGAATTACGGGGGAGGGGGTGGAAGGAGATTACATGGATCAATTTAATGGCTCAATTCACGACAGAAATGATTGCTGAGATTTACCCACAGGATGAATTCGGATCCCCCCTTATACCATATCTGGCACTATTAGGTCGGAAATTGGCCTACTTAAGGCATTATAAAGGCTCAAAGGTTGCACTGTGTGTATCCTCGGACGAGTTTCTCCGGTACTGCAGAGGCTGCTCCGATGACAAGGGAACCCATGTAGTAAGTTCAAACAACTTGTCATGACCCATAGCGACAGTGAAAGGGAATTCTGGATAGTATCGGCTTGATTTGGTCAGCCCTTTGCGCAATTGCAGTAACCGAAAGCTCGTCCAAATACCCCTTCCATGTTATTTCCGTCATGGCAATCTCGTTCAACCTGTATTTTCACAACTTTTAAGAAACCATATTGTTCTCGAAATTAACGAATTTTCTCCCTTTTCTTCACTACCGATGAACTATTTCCAATCTATACTTCCGCTTTTTTGAATAAAACGTGGTACCTCGAAATTATCGTGAACTGTGCCTTTAACTTCTGAGGAATAGTCAAAATTAACTCTGCGCTGAAGTAGTACTTCTGAGTAGTGAATAGGTGGGGACTGAATGAATTTCACCTCTGATCTATACAATAAAAGTAATGCAAAGTCGCTCAAGAATAGCACAAAAACTGATGAAAGGAAGTAGTGTAATGGAGAAATTTTTGCATCATACAAGACTATTTTATAGTGTACTTACAAACTTCTTTTTGGACTAGATTACATCCAACGTCTATTGAATTTATACAGAGAATACACCCTTGTTGTGATTCTAGGCTGACCAAGACTTCTTTCAAGCAAAGTTGAATCGTCCCGATTCAGGGTTCGGTTTCAGGCTTCTGGTCACATATTGCATCATTTTTTGGGCGAGCGATATCGCAAGAACCACATTTTGTCTCAGGTTACACATGGCTCAGGTAGCCACGGGAAAAAAGCTGTCGTACCGCTGTTCTTCATGAACCGTAGTGGTCAATAACCAGAGAATTGTTCTTTGATAAGCTGCTTACCGTACATTCGCAAAGCGACACAATTCAAAAAACTGAGCACCTCCGGCTTCCTCACTATGCTGTACTTCAAAATCCCCACTGAAAGTGAAAACCGAGAAGAATAATGGGGAGATATATGCAATTCTTGACTACCTGCGTTTAATTCGAGGAATAGTCCATGACTGGAATTAGTAGTATCGCTATCAGTGCGATCCTGTATTCATTCTATTACGCACCCCCACGTCTCTGCTGCACAAACCAGTAGGAATATTTATTGCCTAAAGCGATTTCTGGTCACAACTCCCTGTTGAAAACCTCTCCTGAGAGGTCAGATGAACTTAATTTACGCACGTAACATTTTACACTTTTTCTGCAGCATGCATCACAAACCCACGTGCAAAAAGATGCTTTCTGGGAACATGCCATCAAGCGGGATGACTCACTTCACACCACCGTGGGGTATATTCTTGAATACCCGAATAGTTTTAAAATTTAAGTGTCTCGTCCACCATTCGAGACTGCAGATTTTACTCAGTCAGTACACTGTGCAAGATCTTTTACGAGACGAATCATGGGCAAGGTCGTAAGGTCATAATTATAGTAATAGCATCGTAGTGGAAACCGTTGCCTTTAGTAAGTTTAATTAAGCGAAGGTTTCCAAAAGCCTTTTTAGATTTTCAACGTTTCATTTCCAAGGTGGGTGGATGAACTTTACATTTTTCCAAGCGGTAGAAGTTAGGACTAATTCACTCATGGGTATCACCTGTATCACCTGTCGTCTCGTTGATCAACGACTTCCTCGAGCACGTCCAGTGACGTCTCCGTTCGTTCCTGTCACGAACCATAGAAGTCCTTTTTCTAGTTCTGGCTCCAGGGTCACGAGGCATAGCATTCCTTTCGTTCAGAGCTTTCGTGAAGAAGTCTGATAATGGCGGTCGTTCTGGGGCTCCTTTAACATCACAAGAGATCCAGTCAGTAAATGAAGTGAAGGCTGCAGACCTTCAGTTTCCGAGATTTTCAAAGCAAGTGGTGTGGGTTTCAATGCTTCAAATACTTCCACAGCTTGAAATAAACTTGTAATAAAAGCGGGGATTTCCCGAAACATTTATCGGCACCACGATCACCTTTGATAGCTGCCCAGATTCTTTCCTTCAATTCCTCTCGAGGGACTTAGAGAGCGCCATAATAACATGGTTCCGACGATATGAACACGCTGAAGAAGCTATTTGAAAGAGAACTTCAAATAAATTAATCGATTGCATTTTAAATGTGTACATCATTAACAGAAACCACAAGAGAGCGTTATAGGACAAGTTTCCGAAATTTCCGACGATGTCCGATTATGATTACAATATCCTCGAGCTTATTAGGCGGAGCGGTTTATTAATTCGACTACCTAACGTTTCCGAACAATCGCCTTCTTCAGAGGGCAATGTAGATGCAACTCGAGATGATCTGCACGTTGCTCAAGAAGCTTACTCCCCTCTTGCGAAGGCCACGACGATTTCGGAACCCACAATTTGAGGTCGACTTAACAGAGAGATTTACCACTCAAGCGGACAAAGCTCGCTGTCGTACTGGCAACTGCCAGAATGAGACTTCTTGCTGTCTTCCTTATAATAAAAAGATAAAATTATAAGCTAGTGAGGTTCGGTGCATGTATATGGCAAAGGATCGTTGGTTATGGACGCACCCATTTCCACCGTTCATCTTAGAATTTCTTTGAAGAATCCAAAACGCATCTGATACATTTCTCGTTGAAATCTTAGTCTCCTCTCCTCGATGGTAATCCGATTAACTCAGCTATCACGACGTACTAAGGCACCCATCGACTTAGAAAATGGAAGAGAAGATCTGAAAAATATCAGACTTTGTTAGAAAGCAATTCCTTTATGCAAATCAAGACTTCCTAACCACAATAATCCGCAGTCCAGGAACTATGAAAGGGAACCATGGATTTGATGGGGCCTACACATGCTTGTCTGCCTTTAGAACTGCTGGAAATATTATACAATTTTTCTATTGAATTCGGGTTTATCTTTATACTTGCAACAGAAAGAAACACAATGACTTACAGGTGGAAAACGATGTTGCCGAAACAGTGAAGAGCGGTGTCGACAAAGCGGCTCATGCGGTAACGAAAGCAAGCAAGTTTTAATCATTTACCTAATGTCAAACAATTGTACTGTGCTTTCTGAATATACGGAAATAAAGGTGGATTATTTCATCAGCCCTCATAAAGAATAGGGTACAGTCCCATCCGTCATTTGGAAAGTTAGCAGCAATTGAAAGGCTTTGTAGTTTCTGCCACTGTTTCGGAAGCAATCACCGAGTGCCCCTCATTGAGAGTTCACTCAGCTTTGGAATCGAACTGGAATCGGTACAGCAGTAAATGAAGGAGAAATCCGTGAGCGAAGATTCCTTGCATTCCGCAAGTTGAAGCACCTCTTCATAGGTGAATAGGAAATAAGCGTCACGGTGACCAAAAAAGGCCATAGTCTTTGCACGCGGCCTTTACACTATTCCAATCTATTATTTTCCAATTACTACTGGCCAATTCCGCGGAATTGCTTGATTCTTTATTGATTCTTAGCTATTCCCCAAAACCTGTTCCTTTATTGACGTTACTTCTAGTTGAAGAGGAGCTATGTGTGGATAATCCTCTTCTTTTCGATCCCTACTACCTCATCTTTGTTTGGCAGAACCATTCACTCTGCCGAATTCAAAAGTTCCAGAAATCTTATTTATAGGGTATTTTTCAAATACACAGTGAATATTCATGAATTTCAGGACAAAATGCGGCTGATGCTGTCTCATCAGCTGAAGGAAAGCTGTCTGGTGTTGTTGAGGCTGTCGGTGAGTTTTACCCATACTGTACATCTCTTCTACAGAGATGAACTGGAATTAGGTGTATTTTATAGAGGTAGAATGTAGTCGTTTTAGAAACGAGAAAAGGGGTGCTGACGGTATTTTCGGATTTCTTGAAAATCTTTCATTTTCCCTTCAAGAACTAAGCAGTATATTTGAGCGTCATTCACTAACAAAATTCACAAGTTCTCTTGCAGTGCAAATGACCAAATGTCTAACGAAAAATGGATAAATCCAGTGTGTCATGTTGTCGGAAAAGAATCCCCCCAAATCAGAGAATTGAACTATTCATTAGAATTTAAGTATAAGGATAAAGATGCATGGTTCCTCTTTCCATCTAGTCGTAAATGCAGCTTCTGCAGGAATTCTGGAGGTTTGAAAGCAGGGAACTTGCAAAGGCAGCTTTCATATGGCTTTTGGTTATCCATCTTCTTACCTTTTGAAGAATTTGATAGCGACAGGTAAAAGTAGTAGCCTGGAAGTGCTTAATGAATGCGATGAGTGGGCCAGGGCATGACCCCTACTCAAATTAGCTAGAGGGTAAGCTTCGAATTAACAATAGGATTTATTTGTAAATAGCAGCTCCCAGTTCCACCAAACACTCACATTCCCTTTCTGGGCATAATTCAGATTTTCCAGTCGGAATGCCACGCTTCCCAAAACCAAGCCACTAGCTGGCCCTCATGAAGCTCACGTAGACAACCCATCTGCCATCGCCAGTGACCAGGTTGTCGAGCTAGGCATAGGTCCATCGTAGTGTCAAAAAGGTAAAGCATGCAATTCTCCTTAATCTAAGGTGGTGAGCATTCGGCTTATGAGGTATCCATATTCACTTTGGAAAAGGATCGGGAGTCAGTTGAAGGCCTCATCGAACACGACTCTGGTGGCACCTGTGGCTTGGAGCGTTTTTCAAAGTCGTACGGCATAAAAGGATGGGTTTGCTCAGAGTATTCTGGAGCAACAAGAGCGAAGAGAATGCTGAAACAAATTTGCTGCGATAAGACCACCGCCCACCCTCTATACAAGCTCTGGACAGAAGGCTTTAATTGATGTGAAAACTACGGCATTATGAAGAATTGAGTGGTGGAAAACTTTTCCGACAACCTCAAAATGTTTTGCTTGAAAAATTAACAGCATGTTACTAACATTCAGCACGAAAAATGGAACCGGTGAGGACGTATGTCTACACAGCATCAGGACAATTTATCAATGCAATCGGAGGAACCGTTGGCACTTTGGAGAATGGTACTAACAATTTTCATATTACTTCTGCTTGAAGGATTGAGTCGTTCATTTTCGGACTAATTCCGAATGTTTAACCTCTGTTGCCAGTCATGTACTTGTAAAAGAATCATCCCTTCAGAGTTCCCAAAGCTCTTCATGAGATCCTTTTCAACGATATCCCCAGCATTTTTTAGTTCTTCGATAGTATTTCTGTGTTTCTCGAAATCGTGTAATCTCGGAAAACTAGTGCAGTGATGCGGAACGTCAGGGCAAAAAAACTAAAAGAACTCTACTATGTATTGGGTTGTCCGAAAAGTTCCCGCCGTGTTTTGACACCCCGGATTCTTCAACCGTTGTACAAAAGATCAAGGACCCAACCTAATAAAGTTATATGTTTTCTGAAAGAGTAGACCCTCCTCTATATAAATTTCAAGATTCTGTCAACATTTGTCGAAGTTTGTCTGTACAGGACTCGTATGAAAATGGAAAAAAAACTGCGCGCATTTTCGACTTCTGAAGTATTTCTTCTACTGCAGGGCCTAGAATTCGGCTCAAGCCGCATAAAAGATATATGACGTTTGAGTAGACTATGCTCTAGAGGAACGTACAGTGCATGACTAGTTTGCGGAATCCAAGCAGGGTGAATTCGCCTTCGAAGACCGGCAACCCTTAGGGAGACTACCATCAGTTTAAACTCAAACTCAAAATGTTAACCGAAGCGAATTGGCACATCACTGCTCGTGAAGTAGGAGAAGGGCTCAATGTTTCAAAATTAACCATCCATGGTCATCTGCAGACGCTTGGTTTTGTAAAGCGCCTTGATGTTTAGATATCTCGCGAAATGAGCGAGCGCAATGCGATGGACCGCGCCTCCATGTGCGACTCGTTGCTTGAACGGAATAAAAATGAGCCGTTTCTGAAACGCATGAGCACGAGGGACGAAAATCGGATTGTGTACAGCAATGAGGAGCGGAAACAATCGTGGAGCCCCCTAGGGAGCCGTCACAAACCGCTGCAAAAGTCAAAATGCAGGTGCGGAAGACTATGCCGAATTGCTGATGGGATTTCAGGGAAATCACATACCATGAGCTGTTGTCGCCCAATTAAAAGATGACTTAGGAAAGGTACTATGGTTAGCTAGAAAATCTTGAGGCAGCAACAGACCAAAAGCGACCCGAAGAGGCCAATTGTGAGGGCGTAATCTTCCAACACAGACAGGGTACCTCCAGACCACACGTATTGTTGGCCACTCGTCAAGAGTTGCTAAAGCTCGGGTGGGATGTCTTACCGTACCCCCCATATAGTCCAGACATAGCACCATCAAAATATCACTTGTTTGGGTTCCTCCAAAATCCCCTNAACTGCAAAAACAAACTGGAGAACTGCAAAAAGCACCGGCGTGGGTTTTTCGATTTAAAGTCTATAACCTTCCATGGAAGAGGGGACCTGGAACCTACAGGAAGATGGCGAATCCTTACTGAACAGAATGGGAGATATATTGTGCAATCAATGGATTTCTTCTTCTAGAAATTTTCATTCAAAGATGAATCAAAAATCGGCGGGAACTTTTCGGACAACCCAATACAAAAAGTGCTTTTAAGAATAATTCGATGTAGGAGATACATAAAATGCAAGCTCTAGCGAAACTCAAGATTCCCAGAGTTTGAAGCGCACTAGTCAGGTGATGTGGGGAACGAGTTGTCTCGGGATGCAGCCATTTACCCCTTGGCAATATGTATATATTATGAATGCATTTAATTCAATAGCTGAAACGACACAAAACTTTTCCTACCCCAGTGAGTCATGTCGTACAGTCGCCACTTGACGTTAACATCAGGTATTCATTGAAGGGAGTGCCAAAAGGATAGGTGGCAGAGATGAAATCTTTCAGAAAGCTTCACTTCTGACAGTTCTCCTACTGCCTCTCACAAAGAGTCGTCCTCACTCCAGTTTGCTAAAGTTGATCACGGTTTTGCTAACTTATTGAAAAGGTTAACTCCAAAAAGCACCTAGCCAGCGTTCCAGCTGGAGGACAGCAGGGTGGGTACCTCTAGACCTAGTTTGTTCCTTTGCAGCGCACCTTCTTTTAGGCTTTCAAACATTACTTTTGGAAAATGATGTGAGCTTCATCGCATTTGTATGCCTTCTAAGGACCAACTCGCAGCAAGAACTTCCTCCGACAGGTCGACAAGAGGGCGTATGCGAGCGGCTGCAATGAGTTTCCATAAAGATAGTTGCTAGTGCGATGTAGACTTTTGAGGAAGGGGAAGGAATTCCCATTTAATTGAGCTCGCAAACTTATGTTAATCTCTGATACTCGTCACTAGAAGAAGGCGCTATACAGTCACCACTCAGCAAATTTCTATTCTCCTGAGTAGAAGCCTCATGTAACGGGTCTGATGGGTGGTCCATTGCTACATCGCTCTTTGAGATACTTCACAACAGAACTCTATAGCCAGGCCCCGCTCTAATCTTTACTCCTTCAGTCCTGTCTCTGAGAGGTTTCTCCTGAGAGTTCATGACGTAGTTGTAAGTCAATAGTGAAGGGCTCATTAATTAACTCATCGATCCATGAAAGAAGGCGCTTAGGCGGGTGTGGCAACTCAACTCAACTATTTTTTTACCCCAACTGAAACTCCTTGCTCGCGTTTTGGAAAAACGCTTTCGTGCCCGCAGACCAACAGAGTAGGACTTGACGATTGGCCAGGACATAGAGAGGAAAACTCATTCGGGCTTCCAGCGATCAGCATGAGAGCCACCATTAGTGAATACAGCGTTAATGTAAAGACTAGCCCTTTCCAGTTTAACCACACGTTTGCGGTAAGTTTATGGCATACCGTTAAGTCACATAAAAGAAAGCTGGAAGGGGGAGGAAATTGAGATAGCGTCAAGCAAGCACATGGGATAGAAAAGACGAGGAAAAGTAGCAAAAATTTACGAAAATGGTGTACTACAGGAGGTCAGGGCTTAAGTTTCTGCAAGCACACCACCTTTGTTACTACTGCTTAGATGTAGGGACAATTATTGAGCTCAGGGGCTAGTTGCAGAGCGTTCGATGAGCCGACGTCATAATTACCTCTGAAGCAGTTCAACCACTTAAGAATCCTCTGAAGCCGTAGACGGAAGAACCTACAGGAATGCTCAGAGATTGCGAGAATCAGAAAAGTGGAATGATTCTCTGGGAGTTAGTACCAACAGTGCTTGTTTGGGAGTTTTTCTTTCGTAAAAATCATGTCTGCTCAATTGTTAGATACGAGCAGACGTAGAAACGGTGTAACCGTGCCAACCGATGAATTAAGTTTACGTAATTACGATTATGGCTATCCTAACAAACAGTAGACGAGTATAAGAGTGCAATCATTGGTAATAGCTGCTTGCTCAAAAGGGCTATCAAGTGCAGCAATTACCTGCTCAGTTAACTCTGAGCAGGGATCTGTACATTAAACAGGCGGTTATTGAGCAATATCTCAGCAGGGCTGCAGAGCGTTGCGATGCTTTCCAAGACGGCTTCGTGTGCTCTGCCCTATGTATTTCCGTGTATGCATCAAAATTACTACCTTTTTTTCTAAATTCCATGGTTTTAGTCAGAAGGAGGTATCATAAATGCGTGCCGTTGCCCGTTGCCGACGCCGCCCAGCGTTGAGACAATTGGTATGGAAATCATCCAATAGTTCCCATAGTGAAAGTAAGACTTAATCCTGCTGGAAATGCTATCCATAAGGCATGAGCTGCATCTTTGTCGATTTCCTTAAAGATGCATAAGCCCACTCAAAACTTGCTCATTGTTTTAATTCCAAATGCGTTCCCGGGTGGATTCGGGTCCAGGAGGTTCCAGCTGCCAC